CGAGAACAAGTTAAAAAAACAAACAATAGACACAATAGACACATTATAACAAACAATAGAAACAATAGACACAATAGACACATTCAATCAGATTAAAAAATCAATTCAATTGAAATCAATTGCAATTGCGACGTGTCGCAATTGATTTGATTGCAATTGATTTTAATTGCAGTTGATTTCAATAGAATTGATTTTAATTGCAATAATTTTTTTTAGTTGTTCGAAGAAACAATTGAAACCAACAATTAAAACCGAAACTACCGAATAAAAGTGTCATTACGAATATGGATTAGGGGGGTGGGTTAGCGCTGGGTTAGATAGTGGGCTCACCCACCCCCTCACCCACCCACTCACTCAAAATCGTGTCCGCCATCTTGGATTTAGAAATGAGTGCCATATTTGTAATGAGCACCCCAAAATACCTTGAAAACGATACCCAACTTGCCATTATTTGAAAACTCGTGCCCGCCATCTTGGATTTAGAAATGAGTGCCATATTCGTAATGAGCACCCCGAAATACCTCGAAAATGATACTCATATTGCATTTACTTGAAAAGTCGTGTCCGCCATCTTGGATTAAGAAATAAATGCTATATTCATAATGAGCACCTCCAAATCCTCGAAAACGATACCCAACTTGCCATTATTTGAAAAGTCGTGCCCGCCATCTTGTATTTAGTAATGAGTGCCATATTCGTAATGAGCAGCCCCAAATACCTCGAAAATGCGACCCAACTTGCCATTATGTGAATAATCGTGCCCGCCATCTTACCTTCTAACACACCTCCTAACTCAAACTTTAGGTAAATTAACTCCCTTAATTCTGTAGCAGTAGGACGTGTGGATTCTAAACCTGCGATAGAAGGATGGATTTCGATATCATTACTAGCACAATGTAGTCCACGCCGAGTGTGTAATGGAAGCTATAACAACAAATAATCTATTTTCGCTTTGTATAACAACCTTTGATATAATTTCTAAGGATATAAGCACTCACTGTATATATACAACAAAAGATATAACAAAAAAAGGCATAATTTCAATGTGTATAATGAACCTTCAGTATAACAAACATTACATATAATGATTAAGTGATATAAAAAACAAATGGTATAAGAAGTACCAGTATAATGTATTAAATAATATAACACAATATTTCGTTTTAGGAATAGTTGAAGCACCCTATATTATATTGATAAGAATTTTTATTTAAATAAATATACAATCGCAAAATACAATTGTGTTTGTATTGCTTTAAGTGCTTTTTGTGTTAAAAAATATATTTATTAAAACTTTAAATAGAATATTTAGTTGCATATACTATTGCTAACCTAACCTAAACTCACAGGAGGAGGTCGAACTAACTAGCAAATGCAAACAAATTCTGTTCTGGCACTTGTCTGCCACTGCCGCGGCACGCTCGCTGCGTTCTTTCAGCTCGCGCAGCTTTATCATATACTAACGTAAACTAAGCCCACAGGAGAAGGTCGTACCAACTAGCAAATGCAAACAAATTCGGTTCTGGCAGCTTTATCATATACTAACCTAACCTAAACACACAGGAGGAGGTCGAACCAACTAGGAAATGCAAACAAATTAGGTTCATTTTCCATTGCACCTGAACACCACCGGAATTATATTAATAATACATTATACTCAGTAAATGTTATATCTGAAGTGTTTATATAAAATGAACATTATGACATAGGTATATTAGATTGAAATTTGTTATATCAATTGTATATTATACCCCATGATCTTTATATCATGCAAGAATATGTCAAATGTCTGTATACCATAAATTAATTATATCTGTTGAACATTATATTAACTAAAAATATGTCATTTGTTATATATTACAAACTGCACCCGTCCACGCCATTTATTATAGGAATCCAAAGAATTTGAAAAGTAAGTAAGATATGACTTTGTACTAAAAGACCCTTAGTTTTGAAAAAAAAGCAAATTATCTACTAAAATCTTAATAATTTACCTTCATCTTGTCATATGATTGAGGATTAAGATGCTTGTCAGTCAGTTTAATGGAGCGGGCTTTCCCTGCCCTGCCGTCCACTCTGTACAGCTGCTCCAAGAAGTTCCATTGGGCTCGTGCTCGTTGTCCGTCAAGTAGGAGATCCTTTTTCTGGAAATTGTTACGAAAACATTTTAATAAATGTGGCACATCAAAAATATGGTAGATCACATTGTTATTAATCTTATAGAATATGTTATTTGGATCAGTGCTATTGTTTTGTAATAATTCAGCATGAGTATCTGCTGTCAATGATTTTATGGTTGCAACATTGGCCGAGCCTTGATCACTCACAGTGGCTCGTACACAAAAACCAGTTTTGAAAACAGCAATAATTATTTCTTTAACAATGTTCTTTAAGGTAAATGTTTTAACTCCATCTCTAGCAAAATAAAAGGCAACTGGAAATTTCCATCTACTAAACAGGCCACGTAACATAAATACTAATGCCTTGTCTGCTACATTGGAACTCCTTTGTCCAGAGCCAAGATCTTCAAATCCCTCAATTACCCCAGTGTGAAAATTAAAATGTAAATTTTTATTAATGGCCATTTCATCAAAAAGTAAAACACATTGTTTATCTTTCTCTGACTTGCCTAAGGCAGCATCAGCCAAATGTTGAAAAATAAAATCATTGACTCCAGGTCGCAACGGGACATTAGTCAACAATGAATTTAGCGTGGACTTGGATGGTAGAATAAAAAATTTTCTCAAATGAGCATAACATTTTGGACTTAACTTTGATAAAGAAAGTGAAAATATTTTTTTCATCACTGGTGTATCTGCGGCCGTGAGGTTTCACACCTGTTAAACAGAGCTGTGAATCTATTAAAAGCTTTCCAAACTTGTTCAAAGATTTATATTTTTTGATGAATTGTAATGTGTTAGGACAACTAATTAGATTGGATTTGCGCTTTATGTTATAGTACTTACTTTTCCACAAGCGTATCTTAGATTTTAACATTTTATTGTTATCACGCAAAATTTCTTTCCGGGGTGTTACTTCCGATGGCAATAAGCGCACTCTCCTAACTATATCATGTCTAAGACTACGGACCACTTTAGAATGTGTACGAACTGGGGTAGTCAGGACAGTGTGAGAATCTTGTGTAACACATTCATGAGAAAACAATGAAGGTTGTATACTAGAGGGCCCGGGGTCGACACCATGTGATTGCACATTATCTGCCTGAGAATCAATTAAAAAAGGTTGAATACCAGAGGTCCCGGGGTCGACACCATGTGATTGAACATTATCTGCCTGAGAATCAATTAAAAAAGGTTGTATACCAGAGGGCCCGGGGTCGACACCATGTGATTGCACATTACCTGCCTGAGAATCAATTAAAAAACTAGATGGTACAGACATACTCGGATTACTAATATCATAAGACAGATCGTCAGTGGGAGTTAAATGCAATATAGGTATCGCATCTTTTGTCAGTTTATTTTGTTCGTTTATATGTTCAGGATAAAAATGTTTAGGGCAGAATCGACAATTTTGAAGTTTCATTGGTTCACGGTCATAGTTTTCCAAAAATGGGCATGCTTTCTTCCATGCCTCCCATCGTGTTTTATCGGTGTATGGAGCAAGAAAAAGTTAAAATCCTTTCGTCGACTACTACACCCCGGAATAGCGCATCTGTGAGACATTTTAGAATAAAATAACGAGCAAAAATGTATATGGAATGGAAAATAACACGCGCACGGGTATAGCTATTTAAACCGCAAATAGACCAGGATAAAACAAATAGTTATTGTGAATTATGTAGTTTGATGATTAGATAATAAAATAAGACTTAGCCATATCGTAGTTATACAAATCCGTCACGATGAGCACAGTAAATCACAACACAAAACAAAATGACGACAAAATTAGACCATAGCCGCCATGTTTTCTTCCACTTTCCTTCCGAGTGACGTTAGACTGACATATGAATAAAAGTGTGTAACACACACACACATTGACACAACAGCATTTCCTAATAGAAAGAGAAAAAAAAGTTGGTGAAATGTACAGTTCCATGAGTGCAAGAGGAAGGGATAAGTCGGCTAACGAGCGGCTAACGAAACAAACCGAATGTCCTCGGTTGAGTGGGGCTGGTCGATTGTGACTTTGACGTCTATTTTTTTTTAAGGTACATTTTTTTTTTATTATTTATTAAGGCTTTGGCAAAGCCGTCAGCCTAAACATGAAGTTTAATTATGTTTCTGTAAATATGGCCGCCACAAAGAGGATAGGCAATTTGAGGCGGGGCGTGCTTGGATTGACTCGGGATTCCTTAGAACGGGCCGATACGGGTATTTTAGTTCGAGATTCGTATAATTTCGCGTTTTAATCTTCGATTAAGGCACAATAGCACTATCCTATTCCACTTTAAACTAGATTTCACAAAATAATTGAAAGTCAAAATAAAAACGACACTTTTCCCTCCAAAAGGTCCAGAGCGAATCTTTAAGGTACATTCAAATAACATTCTCCCTCTACGATTTATTACCTCGTCTCGTTTTCACTCATTCACTTCTATTGCATATTTTTATCACGCATAAAACTTGTCATAGAGAAAACTAAAATCGTACGTACATGAAAAATCTTTTAGTGTATCACTCAGTGATTATCATTTAGGTGCAAGTAGCTGACGCTTTGGCAAACATAATTTCTTGTTTATTATTTTACCGGAATAAATAACAAAACGTAATAAATGTCAACTAGCATCACTTGTCACGAATTTTACTTTCCCTTCCACGCATAATCCTTTAACTCTTTTTGGGCTAAATAAAAATAAACAAGACAGAACTAGATGTCCAGCAACCACACAAAATTATTACAAAGCTATCTAACTAAAAGATGCATATGCAAATAATTTTTAGTTGCAAAATTATGTTTTAAACCGACGAAATTCCAAATAATAATATATTTGACATCGTTTCATTACGAAGAAACGGAACTTAACCTTGAATCAGCAGGTGATTTCGTCGCGAGTTGTAATCTCAATTGTAATCAATATAACAAATCCTCACAGAAAGGAGAACACGTATTGAATAATTCTAAACATAATCTGATATTAAAAGTGCTGAATTGTGATTTATATAACGCGCAAACGTGAAAATGTTTTACCAAAATTATGTACGCAATTTCGCCAAACCGATTAGAATTTTGCTAAAAAATAACGGTTTAGGCGCCAGTTTCAGTAACTACAGGACTATAGTGCCGTTATCAACTACTAAACTGGCGTTAAAGGATGAAAAGTTAGTATAACAAGTGAAATTTCACGACGTAACCAACAAAAGTAGGCTTTGTCTCGTGCCCGAAAAGAAACAACACGACTTGTCTCATTAATCGTTATTGTAGTGCCCTTGTGACCTTCATTACTTGATAAAATACCGAATATTTTGTTGTTAAGGTGGTTATCTAAGATTATCAGTCAATTCAAATCAAAATAACTAAGCTTGCTTTTGAAATATTTAATTTTATTATTATTTTTTAACAAATTTATTTTTTTAAATAAAGTCCATAATCCATGTATTAATTAAGGAGCTTCGGAACAAATGCCTATAAATTTCTATATATCTAGTCTCATTCAGGGTCGTATTCCAGAACTCTACTCAATGCTCAAGTCAGGATTTGAGTATGGTTTAAAGCACTCGAAATCATACTCAAGTCCCTGCCATTAGGGTCGTATTTCCAGTGCTTGAAATCATACTCAAGTCTGCTCAAATCCTGACTTGAGCATTGAGTAGAATTCTGGAATACGATCCTCAGTCTTATCTTTATATTTTTAATAATAATAATGCACACACTCATAGCGCCGCACTAGGTAAACCTTAGGGAAACCACAAATAGGTAGACAACCAAAAATTACACCCAAACTCATGAGATAAATAAATGTAGGCCATACAAATTTCTCTCGGCCCAGGAATCGAACCCAGGACCTCTGCATGGTAGTCCACTATGGTAACCATTCGGCCACTGAGGCAGTTAAAACAAAAGAATATGTCGCAGAATGTTCAGATCTCTGCAGTTGAAATGTATTTTCAAAGCTTATTTAGTAGTTGATATTCGAGTTCTATAAATTATTCATACAAACTAACAGAAACTACCATTTGGCAATAGAAAACCAGGCAAAATGTGACTTAGCGGTTTGTTACGACGCTTCATAATTTAAACTAATTTTATTTATAAATTTCGAATTTCAGAGTAAAAGTTACCTTCGTACTCCATGATGGCACACGTTTAGAAACAGAAGGGAAAGTCGGGGACTCATTGCTCGATGTGGTTGTGAACAATGACCTCAACATTGAGGGCTACGGTGCATGTGAGGGAACCCTTACTTGCTCCACTTGCCATGTTATAGTGAGCGAAAAGGACTATGAGAGGTGAATTACCATGTACATTATATACAGGGATTTTTGTACAATACTAACAACGTTGCAGGGCTAATTGCTGACATCACTATTAAAAAAAGCTCTTTCTCCTTTGGCATATTTTTTTATGATACCCATGTGATGGGATGAACAAGTTGTGGCTGGTGGTAAGCCAAACGCCTGTCCATAACAGTTGCAGGCCATTCAGAGCTTTAAATCACAAAAATCTGAGGGACACTGCCACTGCACCCATCATCCTGAGACATACATTGTCACACAACACACAAGTCCCATGTGCCTATTTCACCAACATCCCTTCGTAACCGGAACACTGTAATGTGGCATTACTACTTTGTGACAGAAAATGTATCTTACCAAGTGTCAACTGCCTTACAATCTTGACTTTGAACATCAATAAGACTTTATCTTACTATGTTTATTCCAGGCTACCAGATGAGCCATGTGATGAGGAAAGAGACATGCTAGACTTAGCCTATGGTCTCACTGACACATCACGTCTCGGATGCCAGATTACATTGTCAAAAAAGTTAGAAGGCCTGGAAGTCAGGATTCCAGAGACCATTAACGACGTACGCAGTTGATCAGTTTGAAGAGACCTTTATATGAAATTTAGGAAATCATAACATGAGGTAAAAGTTAAGATGCAACACACACTAAATAGATAATTTGGATAACCTGGAGCAGTCCCATATCATACTACTAAGTTTTGATTATAGAGCTCTCCCTTCCCAGCCTTTTGGGTCTATGGGACGGGCATTATTACCTGTGCAAGCAGGCCTGCACAGGGACCTTATCACTCGGGTCCTATCCCAGATCAGTCCGTTGACACATACTTCATCCGGTGCTCAAAAGGTTAGTGCCTTGAGTGAACATGTCTGGGTGCACATACAGTACCCTCCCTATTGTCCAGATAGGTACGGGAACTGTTGGCTCACTCACCTCCCATTGTGCATTGCACAACTTGTGGTTGCAACTGCTAATACCTGAAAGAGGTAATTATTGACATCATAACTTTTTTTACAAAAAAAATCAACTTCAAAACTTTGTTCATCCACTTTCACTGTTTTTGCTGCCGCAGCCTCCTCAACATCAATTGAAATCCAGACAGAAGTCCTCGTCAATTTATCATGTTATGAACCCAAACACAAGGTAGCTGCTGTTCACTGTTGAGGAGTTCCTCTCATTCGTTTGCCATTTCCATCATTAGATCAGCTCTACTTCACCATAATATTTTATTTTAATTGAAATTACATCTATGTGCCAAGTTTTATTCAAATCTGTTAATGGAAAGTAGACAAAATTCAACAAACCCGATTTATTCACTAATTTGCCACCCTTAGAGGTGGAATATTTTCTTTAAATTTTAATGGGACCATTACTGAGGTATCCGCTTTCCAACAAAAAAGAATCATTGAAATCGGTTCACAAATGTCAAAGTAATCCTGCTCCTTTTTTGGAGTTAGTTAAAAATATGGAACATTTTTTTTTGACAAATTATATAATGTCTCTCTTCCCGTTATTTGGAATATCTGACATTTATGTTAGTAAGTAAGACCGTATAGTCAAGATATATTACGTTCATGGTAATCGACTTTTGTAATCTGTTGCGCACATCGAGCATATAACCAGAAATAGAGACGAAATAAGGGCCATATATTCCTGGTAATACATTAGCGATACAGCTCTTATAAATATCAACTCTCGTTTGCACTAAAATATAGATAGACCAACTACTGACCTATGTGGATGTCTCCATATATTCCAATAAATATTCTGTATTTATTGTAATAAAGATAATATCTCTAATAATGCCGAGTTGTTCTATTCGGTGCTGTGGGAAAAACAGGAAACGTCTAATTACAAAACAAACGAAAGTTTGCAATTTTCGTCCATTATACCAAAGCTCAAGTTAAATGGTCGATTTGAAGTGAAATAGTTGACGACACCCGTCAATTGTTTCGAACTCGGGCTAGCTAATCGGAGCGCAGTTGTCACAATAAGAATTGGCAGAATAGTTTTCAAACAAATTAAATGACATTTCGCCTCTATTTCTGGTTATATACTCGATGGTTCCGCAGGACTCGTTTAAAGAAACTTCTTTTAAAGGTTGCGCGTCAAGTGCATTGCCGGGGCATAGATTATGATTTTATGAAACAGAATGAACATTTTGAAAAGTAGGTAAAAAATAAAACACAATGGAAAAGGAAAACAAGTTTATTTTGTTATTAAACAATCAAGAAAAATTTAAATTACTTATTGTGTTTATAAATCAAATACAATCTTCTAAAAACCGTGGTAGCCTAATATTTGACCTCTCTCGCCTCTCAAGCAGAAGCTGTGGGTTCCAATCCAGGCTCACATCCTCGAGATTCTCCGAATTTATTGTGGAAATTTAATTTGAAATTTACCGTGAGCTTTTCTGTGAAGGAAGTCTACACGTTGAAGAAGGTTCACAACCCTCGGAAAACATGTGATGTCACCAATCCGCATTGGGCCAGCGTGGTTGATCATGGCCTAAACCCTCGTCTGAGAGGGGTCCCGTGCCCAGAAGTGGGACGTTTAAAATGGGTTGATGATGAAATACAATCTTCTACCTTAAAACAATACTATTTCTAAGACCATTAGACCATTAGTTGGTAGTTTTGACCCCAAATATATTACAAAAATTATTTTAAGATTACAATAATTATTAATCTTTTATTTAAAACAAATAATACAGATAAAAAAGAAAAAGGTAATTCATGACTTCACTGCCTACAATATTCATAGCTGCACTAATAATCTATGACTTGAGTGCAGTCTCTATTTCTGGTTATATACTCGATGATGTCGCTAATTTAAAAAAAAACAAGAGATTGCCAGTATACAGACATGTTTGGCATATTATTCACTTCACTTTTTATTTTTATGGCTCCATCAATATGAGAACTGATGATTTTGCCAATGTCACAGTTGAAAGAAAAAAAACGAAACAAAAAAAAATTTTCGCTAAGCTCTAATAGGACATTAACCGGTGTTGGTAAGTTGGACTACGCGAGTACTCAGTTGAGAATGTAAAATAAAACAGCAAAACAATATTTATAAATATATGTTATTTAAGTGGATAAATTTACATAGAGTAACAATATGGGGGGAGAACACTAAAGTTAAGAGGTTGTTTATGTTAATGGGGCGGGGGAATTTTGGAGAAAGTAGGTTATAAAGTGGAACAGCAATATTAGGACAATTGAAAAAAATGTGTTCCAAGGTACCGTCTTCTAGGCCGCACTCGCACAGAGAGTGGTCTCGAACTCTGATTTTACGCAAAAATACAGGTGTGCAAACATGGCCTAAGCGCAAACGAATAATAGTGGAAGTGATGTTTTTAGGCAAATCGCGACGTTTAAAAAACCAGGGTTTAGTGGGTAGATTTGGTTGGAGGTTACCATAGTGTCTACCAACAGTTTGTCGTGATTCCTGCCAAAGGACCGACCAGGAGGCTAGCATTTGGGGTTTGGTCATGGCGAGCAGATCTCTGGGAAAGCACTTACAGTATTTGCATACGCCAATTCTTGTCGCATCCTTTGCAAAGGCGTCTACTGCTTCGTTGCCACTAATCCCACTGTGACCGGGAATCCAGGCCAGAGTTACCTCAATTCCCGCACAATGACATCGGTACAAAGCTTATAATAACATGAAAATGTCTAATGCATTGTCAATTTGAGTGCTACAACCAACAAGAATAAGAATGTTACAAATTACATTTGTCAAGAGTGATAAACATCGAAACAAAATTTTACATCTTGTTTCCTATCAGATATTTCGTTTATGTTAAAAAAATCATTTTCATTTAACTACTTGTATAATTTCGTTTTGAAAGTGTAATAGCTTAAATCTCGAGTGGTATATTAATTTAAACATGACAGCGCAACTAGGTAGGTTAATTGAGGGTCGTATTCTAGAACTCTACTCAATGCTCAAGTCAGGATTTGAGTATGATTCAAAGCACTCGAAATCATATTCAAATCCCTGCCATTAGGGTCGTATTTCCAGTGCTTGTGTTTCCAGTGTAATCATGACTTGAGTATGATTCAAAGCACTAGAAATCATACTCAAGTCCTTGCCATTAGGGTCGTATTTCCAGTGCTTGAAATCATACTCAAGTCTGCTCAAATCTTGACTTGAGCATTGAGTAGAGTTCTGGAATACGACCCTAAGTGTCCTTCGCCAAAAAAATACGAATTTGTGAATTGCTGATTTTGAGGTCTGTCCTTTTTCGATTTTTCGTTGATACTACTTTAGTTCACATGTAATGGGCCTCGAATAGGTGCACAAAGTTATTGAATTTCATCGAGTATATAATCAGAAATAGAGACGAAATGTCATTTAATTTGTTTGAAAACTATTCTGCCATATCATTACTGTGACAACTGCGCTCCCATTGGCTAGCCCAGTAGCTATATTATTTTTGATGCACTACTTACACTTTACTGTGTATATTATTATTCTCAATGTATAACTTTAACCTGACTGAAAACCAGCGCCTTAGGAAACTGGCATAAAATATACTGAGTCAGCGCCGTTTCACTGCTATGACAATCATGTTGTTTTTCTTTTATGCTTAATCTGTATTTGTGTTATATCAGTGAATAAAGTGTTTATGTATCTTTATAGACCCATGAACATCCTGTTGCTGGGCATAGGTCCCCAAGCTATTTGGGGGACTTATTTTGAAGATTATAAATGACCACACTTTCCCGCTTAAAGGCCTGTTAGGCGTTTTTTCAATTTAGGTGCTGTTGCGTAATAGCAAGTGGGAGTTAACCTAAACTGTTTTTAGCATTGACTTACAATTATATGGACGTCGGGTCCGCGCTAAAAAGTGTCCGCACTTGTAAGGCGCTAAAATCGTATACAGAGCGCCAAACTCCGCTTTAGTCTTCATTTGTTCTACGGACAGCGCGATACTGCGATGACATTACAATTTAAATTTCGAATAGGTTGACTTGGGACATTTTTTTCGGGGTTTTTGTATTAGACCCGTCGTCCATTTATTTGTAAGTCAATGGTTTTTAGTGTTAATTTGGTATTATAGTTTACCTCATCGGTTTAGATTATTAAATGCATAATACGTAATTTAATTTTGTGTATATTCGATTTTTATTTCATGTTGTTTGTATGCCTTTTGAGGTACAAGTTTTTATACAAGTTTTTTATATATCTTTAGAAAATACAATAAGTTCTGTTAGGACCTACGCCATGTTGTAAAATGAAAACATTATTTTTCAACTGGTAAATTTTGTATTGATGTCAACAATGAATGTTATGATCGAATTTTTAACCCATTACGCGTCCTAGAGAACTACGAAACCATCAAAAAAACTTCCACCATTAATTTTTTTTTTTTAATGGTGGAAGAAAACACAGCTGCACGTTAGAGACACAGTGTGCCTCTAGGACGCGCGATAAGGAAAAGATAATTAGAGATAATAATCTGACGTTTAATGTCTTGCTAGTTTTTGGTGAAATAAAAGGTGTTGCCAGAAAGAAATCGACGTCACTGAGTCACTCAGTGGAGTATTAACGTAAATTATATAATTATATTTTTTTCTGTAATTTATGCGTATTCACTGAAAAAAAAAGCAAGAATCGAATTACAGAACAATGACAGAAGTATGTAGGGACTAAACGTAAATAAAATATTGATTGGCTGATTTTGTTTTTGTCAATTTATTGAGGAATGTATGTACAGTCAAGAGCACGTCAAGCTTGACACTTTGGACTGTTTTTATCGTGAGCGGCATACAGTTGGATTTAAGTTTTAAGTACCAAGCTTGACGTGCTTTTGACCCTGTACCAAACGCGACATTATGCAATGAACATGGCAACTTTTTTTTTCATTAAAAATCAGACTGCAGTGTCATTATTTCAGGGTATGTAATAACTATTCACGATTTACAACGGGCCGCAAGTCGTCAAAGGTCTCTTACAGTAACGCAGTATTGCGGAGTAGATTTTGAACTAAGCATACAGTGACGAGTAGAGCAAGCAAAATTTTATCACGAAGAAGCACCCATTATCTTACTTTAATTTTTTTTAATCGAAAATATAACACCCGTCTTCTTATATATATATATATATTTTTTTAGGCTTAAGATGGGTGCTTTATGTGTTCATGAGAAAGTTTCGTTTGTTCACCGCTGTATGCTTAGTTCAAAGTCGTAGTATTCCGCAATGTTACTTTATTGCATAAAGGCAGCGACTTCTTTCATCGTCTACTTTAGCACGAATGGACCAACGTACAATTTTGACGAAAAAAAGCTGTTTACATATCTGCCGTCCAGTGACTAAAATGCGTCTAAGTGACAAATGGTCAAATAACCATTTTAAATAGCACAAAATAGAGCACAAAATTGTCTTTTTAAAACAGTTAAAATTAGTTAAAGTGTTCGACTTATCGAAACTTACCTTAACTATGCATGGTTGAAATATATACAAACAATTTCAATATTCTATAACTGGGTTATGGTTTTTTTATGATATCTCAAAAAATGATTTTGACTGCAGATATAGTCTGTTTTTTTAGAATTTAGAAGACGGAGTAAAATGACATTTGTAGGGTAGTTGTTGTCGATAGTTTTATCGATAGATTGTGAAGGGATATAAAATTTTGCTAAAAATGACTGAGTTGTGAATGTTACGATGTTGTAATGATTACTATTTGTGCTATTGCCTTCTTAATTATTATTTTGACAGACGGCATACTAGTATCGAGATCAATTTTTTTTCATATACATTTTAATAAGAATAGCCGGATTTGATTATCTATATTGAATTAAAATGAAGAACTTTAAAATATGTATCCTCTTTGTATTTTTCATAAACATAGTTCTGAATACAGTGTATATATGAATGAACAATGAAAAAGTAATTCAGATGAACTTCTGCTCAGTAATTCAATGAATAATGGGTCGCGGATGATTCAAATGAGACAGGTTCGGCTATTTATTCCATAAGCGTGACCAACATTCGGTCGATAGTCGATAGAATATTTATCGACTGTTATCACTAGCTGTTCGCACGCGGGCAACACTTTTCCACAAAAAACTGTCATTTTACTCCGTCTTCCAAAAAGACAGACTATAGTTCTATTTAGAATTTCATATGTATGACGTGCCTAATAATTAATTATCTTCAAAATTGTTGTAGATAGCATTTACGGCCACGCTCCAACACACTAACCAACCATTATGGTTACCGCCCACTGAATACTAGAACATCAGATCAACACCTCACCTCGTATGGTATTTATAAATGAGCTTCTAATTATGTGGCTTATGATTTTATCAATTAAAGTAATAATAGACGTGGAGTCTTTAAAATAACAGTGCCGAGGTATTGAATGGGTGATGATGACCTTGGAACTATATCAACTTTCAATTGAAGAGCCCAGGAAAAGAATGATCGAAGTTACTTGAAGAGAATTTTAAATTTCGAGAACTTTTAAATATTGGTGAAAAAGAAACGCCATTCTATTTTAATTAAAAAGACATTATAAACAATTTTTAACTTTTATTTAATATAAAACGTGTTTTAAGTGATTTTAATCATTCTTTCCTTGGTCTCTTCAATTTTAAACTGCTTTGAGCGCTATGTAAATGATGTAACACACAATTTTCCACAAAGAATGTTTACAAATTACATTGTAGTACTTGTGGTCCACCGTATTATAAATGTTACTATTTTATAAAAATATAATCTTAGTTCAGAGTACTAAAAAACCGACCTCAAAAGTAACGCCTTGAATTGGAGAATAGCATAATCAGCCATTAAAATAATTGCGCCTTATAATAAATTTAGGCGCTATTTATAAAAATGAATCTTCATCCGTGAACAGCCACCCTTAGAGGTGGATGATTTTCTTTAAAATTAAATGGGACCACTATGGAGGTACCCTCTTTCCAACAAAAAAGAATCATGAAAATCTGTTCACGAATACCGGAGTTATCGCGTAACATACATACAAAAAAAAACACAGTCGAATTGAGAACCTCCTCCTTTTTTTGAAGTCGGTTAAAAATAAAAAAGGTTATCATTAACAAATTAATGAATAATGTTAGTTTTTTTTTTATATAAATGTTACTACATAATTTTATTTTATCAATTAGTTTATAGATTTGAATTTATTAAAATTTAGTTACATAGTTTGGAATTTTTATTTTTTCTTTAGATATAAGATTTAAAAATATAAGGAAGTTGCAACATAATTTTTGTTGTATCAAAATTGAGTTACATACCAACGCCGTGACACGCGTTGATTTCAGGGGTCTACGAGTACTCCCGTTCTCCGTCCAATACATTTACTGTCAAATAATTGAAACTTCATACATTGCCATTGTCTATTGATTTGGTATTACCTATATGACAGTAATCGTTCCGGGCGGTCGGATGTCAGACGGAGAAGAGTCATCGAGTATATAACCAAAAAAAGAGACGAAATAAGGGCCATCCATCCCCGACAGCTCATATCACTTTTAAATATCAACTCTCGTTTGCTTTGAAATCACAGAAAGCTGAAATAGTACAACGCCAACAACTGACCTGTGTGTACATCTCCGTATGTTCCAAAAATATTCTGTATCTATTGTTATAAAGATAATATCTCTAAGAATGGGAGGCTGTTACATACGGTGGTGTGGGAAAAACAGCAAAACATCTAATTATACATATATAAGACAAAACCAACACCATTTTACACAAATTCCGGTGGACTTAGGGGTTTGATTTTGACGTTTACATGAGTGGCATTGAACGTGTTAAATAACTAATTCGCTAAATTGAAAAATAGCTTTATCCGTAGCCGTTTCCTCCGTTACGAAATGTACAATCTGCCCAAGTTGCCCAATTTCCTGCGCATCAAATAATGGTGACAGCTCAGATTGTTTTCGAACGGGCTGCTGAAAAAAAAAATTCCTTTTTTAAAAGCAAGGTACTTTATTGGCGGCAATATGCGCGTTGAGGTAAGTGAATAATAATTTATTTATGTATATATATATATGACATTATTTTACCATATATGATTGCTTATTACGCTTCAATATATCTGATCAATACCGCACCCTGGTTTAGCAAGGCGACATCTTTGCCCTCTTTATATTAACTAACGCATAGTTTCCCAAAGTGATCTCTACCGCCCGCCAGTGGGCGCTGAAGAGTCCTACGGGGGCGGTAGAGGCCTCGGAAGCAATTTTGCTACCGCATAAGAAAAAAAAACCTGAATTATCTATATAAACTTTTTTTTTATAGTAACAAGTGACAGGACGGACATGTGCGCTTTATGGTAAGCTTATATACTAAATCTATGGGTAAGCTACACGCCTGTCCATAACAGTTGCATTGCCACACAGAACTTTAAATCGCAAAAATTTGAGGGTCACTTTGAGACATAAGTTGACAAGTCTCATGTGCCTATAATTTCACCAGCACCCTTATCCTTCAAAACCGGAACACAGTAAAGCTGACATTACTGCTTGGTGGCAGAAATAGGTAAGGTACTTCCCTGGACGAACTCTTTCACAAGGATCTCTACTGCTACTAAACTACATTACATTCTAGTAGCATTAGAACGCCTTGTGAAAGAGTTGGCAGAGGTCCCGGGTGAGTTTGGGTGTAATTTGTGGTTGTCTATTCATGTGTCCATGATGCCCGCGACACCGAGTTTGCATAGTGCGGGGCTTTGAGTCTGCGTTATTATTATTAAACGCACTCGATATCTCTTATATAAAACAGTACGTTAAGGTTGGAAATGTCCTTACTCTGTATGAATCAAATAATACCGACAAATTTGTGGGACTGTTCGTGTTCTTATCCTGAAAAAAAAATGGTTTATTACTTTCTGTTCTTTCATTTTAAAGGTGATCTTATTTATACTGAGATCATAAAATATATATAGCCTTTC